TACTTCGTGGCGGAGCGACAGGGCAGGTTGAGACCGCCTAGGAGAGAGGTGGTCCTGGCCCTGTTCGGCGTTCGCGGAAACTTAACACGCTTAACGAGATCTTGGTATTTGATCTGAGTTGGCTACGAGCTTATACGCACTAACCATCTACGTGGGAGTAGTTATGGGTATCCCGGCGTCGTGGTATCAGCCGAAGCACTTCGTGACGTCAGCGACTGAGTGGCGCGCGCCGGGTTGGACTGCGTTAACGCAACTTCCTTTGTAATGGAGGTTGCTAGGTCTGCTCACCGGCCGCGTATGCACCGTGCAGGTGTGCTAAGGGCGATGGGCCCAGACCCCTGTGCGCTTAGGTTTAGACCGGCGTGCTGACCTCTCTGTTGTGCCTAGGTGGGGCTGCGACGTGTTGATCTTCCGCGGCCGGGCATGACCCAGGAAAGTGTGTCCGGCCAAATGGGATCAAGCGTGTTGGGTAAGTTGGTGCACCCCTGCAGGGAAGTTAATCTATTCGAATAGCCGTGATCTTCGGTAACAGGACGACTTGGAGTTGTACCTTGACCTTATGACAACTAGAACCGGATACTTAATAAAACACACCCTTCCAAGTTCCACAGACAACCCGGTGATCGCTTTTCCACAGGGCGACGAGGAGAGGATCGCCGGGTAGGATTATGCTATGCGATGCTCTTGGAGATGCTACTTGGAGATGCTACTTGGAGGACTTCAATCTACTCTCTCCTACATGCTGCAAGACGGAGGCTGCCAGAAGCGTAGTCTTCGACATGATTAGCTATCCCCCTCTTATTCTGGCATTCTGCAGTTCAGTCCACTGATATGGCCTCCTTACACATATACCCATGCATATGTAGTGTAGTTCCTTGCTTGCGAGTACTTTCGATGAGTACTCACGGTTGCTTTTCTCCCTCTTTTCCCCTTTCCCTTCTACCTGGTTGTCGCAACCAGATGCTGGAGCCCTGGAGCCAGACGCCACCGTCGACGATGACTCCTACTACGCTGGAGGTGCCTACTACTACGTGCAGCCCGCTGACGACGACCAGGAGTAGTTAGGAGGATCCCAGGCAGGAGGCCTGCGCCTCTTTCGATTGTATCCCAGTTTGTGCTAGCCTTCTTAAGGCAATCTTGTTTAACTTATGTCTGTACTCAGATATTGTTGCTTCCGCTGACTCGTCTATGATCGAGCACTTGTATTCGAGCCCTCGAGGCCCCTGGCTTGTATTATGATGCTTGTATGACTTATTTACGTTTTAGAGTTGTGTTGTGATATCTTCCCGTGAGTCCTTGATCTTGATCGTACACATTGCGTGCATGATTAGTGTACGATTGAATCGAAGGCGTCACATCCATGGTGTTCTGGAAGGGGATGTGTACATGAGACAACCTCCTGGGTTTGAAAGTAAGAGTACTCCTTCTTATGTGTGTAAACTTGATAAAGCTCTATATGGACTAAAACAAGCTCCAAGGGCATGGTATTCTCGCCTTTGTCATAAGATGCAAAAACTTCGATTTGTTCCTTCTAAATCAGACACATCATTGTTTATTTATAACAAGTCCAATACATGCATATTTGTTCTCATCTATGTTGATGACACAATTGTGACTAGCTCATCTGATGAAGCAATCAGGGGTCTCTTAAAGGATCTGAGTGCAGAGTTTGCATTAAAGGATCTTGGAGACTTGCACTTCTTTCTTGGGATTGAGGTAAAGAAACATCAGAATGGACTTCATCTCTCTCAAGCAAAATATGCAGCTGATCTGGTAAAAAGAGCAGAATTGCAAGGTTGTAAACCCTCACTCACTCCATTATCCAGCTCAGAAAAATTGTCTCTTGCAGAAGGTAAAATTTTGAGTCAGGAAGATAGCACAAAATATAGAAGTCTCGTAGGAGCTCTTCAATATCTCACTCTTACCAGACCAGATTTATCTTTTGCTGTCAACAAAGTCTGTCAGTTTTTGCATGCACCTACTGATGTTCACTTGACAGCTGCCAAGCGTATAGTCAGATATGTTAAACATACTCTCAATATAGGTCTAAATTTCAGCAAGTCATCTTCTACTCTTGTCAGTGCCTTTTCTGATTCAGACTGGACAGGGTGCCTGGATGACAGACGCTCAACAGGTGGTTTTGCAGTCTTTTTTGGACCTAACTTAATATCATGGTGTGCACGCAAACAGGCTATTGTATCCAGGTCAAGCACTGAGGCAGAGTACAAGGCATTAGCAAATGCTACAGCTGAAATCATATGGGTTCAGTCTATGTTGAAAGAGCTTGGAGTAAAGAGCAAGCAAGCTCCATGTCTGTGGTGTGACAATCTTGGAGCTACTTATCTTTCTGCTAATCCTGTGTTTCATGCCAGAACAAAGCACATAGAGATAGACTTTCATTTTGTCAGAGAAAGAGTTGCTCAAAAGCAACTTGATATTCGATTTGTGCATTCAAAGGATCAGATTGCAGATGGATTTACAAAGCCTTTGCCCTCAAGAAGTTTTGAAGAATTCAAGCATAATCTCAACTTAATGAAGCTGTGATTACGGGAGGGTGTTAAACATAATGTGGATGCACCACCCGGCGCATGAGGTTGTTAGGATAGATAGATAGAGATAGATTATTTTCCTTCTTCTCCAAGTTCTATCTCTTCCTTGAATATCTCTCTCTCTTTTGTAATCTCAACAATGTATGCGCTATGGTTGGGAGGTGCGCCCCAACTCCATATAAACACGAACCCGTCGGTCTCAACAGGCTAAGACGTTTCCAGCTATCGCACAGAGGCAACACACAAACTACTCATAATATATACAAAAGGATGTCGAGCTCCTCTCCCAAGCCATCTCTGGCCGATGACACTGTTGGAAAAGGCAGGGATCGGGCCGGCCGCCCTTGTCGACTCTCAAAGGGATATGATGGGGATAGAAGGTGTGGAAGAGAGGAAGGGAGTGTGGCCCTGCATGCAACAAGCAACCGTCGAATCTGACCTGTCTCATGATGTTGAGTGTTGTGCGAGGAGAAACTCAACTTATCCAGTGTTTGTGACACTGACTGAGAGTGGGGCGTGGGCATGGCTATACTTTGATAAGAACAATCTTCCTAGCTTGAAATGTGATTAAGACGACAATGTCTGGTAATGAGTCGGATAGTGTTCTTGCAAACGAAACGACGAGTGAAATCGATCATCGGAAGAAAATAAAACGGGAGTTGATTAGCAACAGGAAGTATAAACTCTCCCTCCATATTCTGAGCTGGTATAATGCATGCGTAGTGGTTCACAGAGCACATCACCAGCTAGAGAAGAAGCTGAAATCTAAGCTGGAACGCTTGCTTGCTATTGTTGTAACCCCCCAACAGCCCATTGCTCATACTCCCTCTGTTCCGAATTATAAGATGTTCTAATTTTTTTTTTTGAATTGAATGTATATGGAAGCGTTTTAGTGTGTGTTTCACTCTCAGTCTATATGTAGTCCATTGAAATATCTAAAACATCTTGTAATTCGGAACGGGGGTAATAGTACTCAAGTTTGTGGGATGCCATCTCGTGCCCGAGCCCCTGGGACACCTGAAGCCCCATCTCATGCCGACTCGTCCTCGTAGCCTGACATTGAAGGTGGGAATGTGGCATGCCAGTCTTGGCAACCAGGTCCTCACCTACTACCTGCTGTGTGCCCGTGTTGCTCTGGCACCATGGCGGCCTGCACGAGTGACCGACGGCGGGCGAGAATCCTTCCTAGGTACCAGGCAGTTCTGAATTCTCGAAACCATGTTTGCATTGCCCACACAAAAATGTGTTTTTCACTCAAATCGTGAGAGCTGCTAACAAGCACTCAGAGTCAGAGTATCATTTTCTGAATACTGAAATTTTAATCCAAATAAGTGTTCTGTCGCAAACAATGTTTGACGATAAATGTCAAAATTGACATTAATAGAATTGAGCGTTTTACTTGTGTTTCATAGACACTTCTGTATACATTTAAATAGTAATGAATTTGGAGAAATGAGATGACCGCGAACTCCCTGCTGGTTGCTCGCTTCGTGATTTCCAAATGCTAGAGCTAACACCGAGGGGCGGCATGCTATGCACAGACTCGCCTTCCTTCCGGATTGTACAATACTTCCATCAAGAAGGTCGCCCGCTATGTTGAAAAAATCAAGGAGGAGATCACGCTGGCGGCATACATACTGTGGAACTTGTGGAAGGAGCGGAACAGAAGAATCTTCGAGCAGAGAGAGTTACCGGCCATTGCTCTGCCGGGGCTAATTCGAGAGGATGTCAGGTGCTTTAGCGAGGCTACGAGGGAGTAAACACTGTGGGATTTTCATGTACTGTTGTGTTGTTTTTTTCTTCTTCCTCACCACTGATGTATGAGTGATTGAACCTGGATCTTCTCCGATGGGTCATCCGTCTTGTACTTCTTTCTTCCTACTATAATGCAAAGGCAGAGCTCCTGCTATTCACGTCAAAAAAAAACTTGGAATCATCAAAAGGTTTTGCTAGAAGAGGTCTTGAAGATCTGAAAAAAGGCCTTATTGTTACTCCTTTACGTGCCAGAGCTATGTTCCTGAATGATCCCCTCAGGGTTCTTTGACCGATCAGGATTGCCGCTAGGTTCAGCTTTACATCAGCTGAAGATTTGAAAGAAGCCGCCTCTAATGAAACCGCAAAGTGGGGTCTTACTAGGAAGGTTACCAGAGAACGTATTGGCCACGAGGTTCACTTCATGCAATGCAATGCACTACATCAACGATCTTTAAGATGTTTGTCTTTATATTCACACGACTTGCATTCAAATATTACAGTACATATTTGTTGCTCTTCGTAGATCAAATAAGTGAAGTGCTTTATCTTGTGATGCGCCCAGGCTTTGGCAATTTGCTATCTCCGCCACCGTCGAGAAGTACAGAAATATATCTGTCAAAAGAGAGATCCAGGTTACAGAGTGTCAAGGGCGTTCCAATTCCCAAGACTAACTCATCTGCTAGCGACAGAGAGAAGCTACGCCTCGTCGTCGATGATGAACACGACGTTGTCCTGCAGCTCCGTGTGGATGCCGACAGTGCCATCCTGCTGCGGCGATCTTGCCATGTTCCTGTTGGCCTTTAGTTGGTCCTCGAACATCTTCTGCAGCCTCTTACCCTGCTCCTCTATCCTCACCTGCAGATTACGCTGCATCTGCAGCACCAGGAAGTAACAATGTCACAGAAGACTCTTGGTAGAGCCTAATTTTGTGTTTGAGCTAATTTTCTCTTACCTCGAGCTGCTGGTGGAGGCGGCGCTGCACGTCGAGCTGGACACGGAGCGCTTCCGTGATGTGCATTCCTCTGCACACAGGAGTATCGCACCATTACACCATTAGTACTTGCCATGGTTACACGGCGGGAGGATTCCATTCCATCAAGATGTTGCTAGTAGTTATAGCGAAAGATACGTACGCTATCGGGTCCAGATCCTCCACGGCCATTTCCTCCTGTTGATTCAGATCATGACAGGCCATGGGTGGAAACTTTATTTGCACACTGTATTTGGAATCTGCGGGAGAATTGGGAATTTGGAATTGAAGGATGAGTGCAGAGATGGCTCTCTTTTAACAACCGGTCCAGCAAGTGGCAAGAATTTAAAGATGCAAAGATATAGATATAGTACATTTCATTCAGACACGTCAGACAACGGAGTAGGGAACAATTGGCCGGCCACCTTGGAGCTTTCACGCTTGTCCTCCTTATCCTTGTTGGTGTTGCCTTGGCCTTCTAGCCTCTAGCTCATCGCCCGTATCCAATTCTTCTCTATGTTGAATCCTTCTGTGCTGCTTGTATTTTGCTATCCCGACAAGGGATGAGTAGACATGCGAGATTATGAACTTAGTTTTTCCTGGATGTGATGTCGATCTGTACATATATATGCCTCCAAAAGCAAGACATGTACATTACAAGAGCCAGGATGAAAATGACGGAATCATATACTGACACAAAAGAGTGCCGCCAACGCCGGTCTTGGCATCAAGCCGAGAACAAAGTTTTCACCTGGATCCGCTCGAAGAACCTCCATCAAGCATCGTGTGCACGGGTCGCCGCCGATCTGCGCCGCCGCACATCGAGTAAGCCGCACCGGGCAGATCAGATCTGTCCGGAGGGCAAACCACGCATGGCGCCGGCCCAACCACCAGGCCCTCCATTGCCACCACCGTCGATCCAAGGTCAGATGGTCTGTCGCTGCAGATCCGGCCGCCGCCGCCGAACGCAGCCAAGGCCGCTGCCCGCCGCAGGGCCGGCCGCCGCACCCGCCACCACCACCGCCCTAGGACGAGGCCACCGCCGCGCCGCCGCCGGTCAAGGCAGGCCCGCCACGCCACGAAGGCCAGATCGGCCGTGCCACCACACGCCACGGGGCTCCGCACTGCCCGCATGGCGCGGGAGAGAGGGAAGGCCCCCGCCACCGCCGTCAGCCCCCAGGCTATAGGCCAGTGGCGTCCTTCGGCGGCGGCGAAGGGAGGGATGGAAGGACGGGGAGCCCCCGGTGGCTAGGGTTGGGATCCCGCCCGAGTCGCCCGAGCGGGGGCGACGCGGGCGGCCGAGCTGGATTAATTGATCTGTACATATATATGCCTCCAAAAGCAAGACATGTAAATTACAAGAGCCACGATGAAAATGACGGAATCATATATCTTACTGGGACAACCCCTACTAGCAAAGCATTACTAGTTTTTTTGATACCTTGGTACTCCAATAGCAGTGTGATCTGCACACAAGTGCCAATTTTTTCAAAAAATATATAACCTTTTTAATGAAATCTCTATGCCCCGTTTTAAATCTTTTTCAATTCTATATGATACGGTCGTTCTTGTAGCAGACAAATAGTAAGCTTTCGTCCACGTGAAGGACGATCGAAGAGTATTCCTGTAGAGGCCAAAGAGTTGTCTCCGTTCCCTTGTTGGATGAAGAGACGCTCTCCGTTCACCACCTGAACAAAAAGAGGGGTTGTTCCACGTACAATACACAAAAGCAAATTTAACGAGCAGTATGTGGATTTTGTGACACAAAAGTGACACCATTGAATCTATATTGAAAATACTTCGTAACGGCATCACTTTTCTATATATGAATCAAACATCATTTGCATAACTAGTGAAAAGTGGGTCATAACTTAGTGGCTTTGAACTTGCTTGGATTTTCAATTCACTGTGTTACGTAAATTTGGAGAAGACGTGTACAAGATGTCAACCCAGAGAGGCAGAGACCTATCAACGGACAATCTATTGACATAAAAATGACTTCCTTAGCTATCATTTCCACTTGAGCCCAATGATCGGAGTAGCATTCACTCCAACCAAGTTGTCCGAATAGATCTCCTCAAATAAGGTTTAGGCCACACCTTTAGAGAAATCTTTTTTCATATAAGAGGGGAAATTACTCACGGTGTGCCTTTTATAGGGTGTGTAAAAATCACCACCAATACCCTTGATGGGGTGGAAAAAGTAGGAACTTTTTTTCCGCACCGACCATGGAAAAAGTAGGAGCTTTGTAGTCTAATTTCGTTCATGCACTTGGTCCATGAGAGGAATGAGCATGAGCCACGAGAGACGGTGATGTATGGTTTGTGGGGCCTTATCCTCCAAGGGTTGCGTGTTTTCAACCAACTATCTTATGATTGAACTTCCTCTTCCATACCTTCTCAAAAGAAAAGAAAAAGTTATCTTTCTAACTAGTAAATTCTTGTCTTTCAGCGTTCCGATGTGCATCCTATGAGGATTGAGAGCCCTTGATTAGTAGCTCAGAATTCTCCCTTACAACAAATACTACGGAGAAAAAACATTTCTAGGTCTATTTGGGAAGGCTTCACTCCATCAAAGCCACTTTGGAGCAGTTCCACCTAGAAAT